CCGTCAGCCCCCCGTCCGCCGGGGTCCCCAGGCCGGAAGGCTCACTGCCCCGCGCCCCTGGCCGGGCGGGCGAGCTGGGCTAGGAGCTATGACCTTGGGGCAAATAGGGATACGGTCCCTGCAGCAGAGGAGCGCGCCTCCCGGAGCCGAAGGGCTCGCGCCGCCTGCTGGCCGCTCCTGGAATTGAGCGAGAGGCATGTCCTCACGTAGGCGAGCCTGGGAGATTGCACTTCGCTCCCAAATCTAAATTGCAAAATTGTGAAATCTCATGTAAAGTTCTCCTCTCCATGTGCTATCCTTCTTCTCTCAAAAATCTGACTTCAACGGAGAAGATTTCCCAGTTCGGCACATATTTATGTAAAATAATCAGACTTTCCCCGAAACTCTCAAGTTTTACGAAGCAGGATCTGAGAAAGTAATTTGTTACAAAGAGCTACCTTTCCCAGCTGAGAAAAGGAACTCGGCATTTTTTTTTCCCAAAAGATACGCAGTGGTCCCAACTCTCCTTTTTTTTTTTAATTGAGATTTTTAAAACTCATTTTAATGAAAGTTTACAGAGACTTAGGGTTTACAGTCATTCATTATTTTTTTTTATAGTAAGCAAGGGGCATACTTGAGGGAAGGCAGTAACATGACTTATAAACTGTAGGCACTTGGAGTATCAGCCTCTATATATATTTGTACGTATGCACATTATATGTTTTACACATATAATATTTGCAGCCTTCAATATGGACTGAGGCTCAATGTCCAGAAGACAAAAATTCTCACCACTGGACCAATCGGTAGCATCAGGATGAATGGTGAAGAGATTGAGATTGTTCACATCTTCAGTTTGCTCGGCTTCACGGTCAACACTCTTGGCACCAGTAGCCAGGAAATCAAAAAACGTATTGCGATGGGAAAGTCTGCGGTTAGGGACCTCTCTAAAGTACTCAAGAGCAACGGTGTCTCTCTGGAGACTAAGCTGCGCCTTATACAGGCCATGGTTTTTGCAATCACTTGTTATGCATCAGAGAGTTGGACAATGACTAGGGAGGATAGAAGGAGAATTGACGCATTTGAGCTGTGGTGCTGGAGAAGAGTACTGAATGTACCATGGACTGCCAAGAAAACAAATAGATTCATCCTAGAGAGGGTTAAACCAGGCTGCTCCTTGGAGGTAAGGATTCTGGGGCTTCACTTGACATACTTTGGACATGTTGTAAGGAGAGACAGGTCTTTGGAGAGGGACATCATGCTGGGCAGAGTGGAGGGACGGCACAGGAGGGGAAGGCCCTCTATGAAGTGGATTGATTCAGTGACTGGGGTAATCAGGATGGATGTGTCAGAGGCAATGAGATTGGCACAGGATAGAGCAGGGTTTAGGGCTGTTGTACATAGGGTCGCTATGAGTCGCAAGCGACTCGACGGCACACAACAACAACAACAACAACATCTTTTAATGACAGAATTGATATTGCAATACCTTAATTTTCCTTTGACCTACAAGTTTATTTTTCTTCTTCAAATTTTAAAAAAGATTAATACCTTTTTGTGGCTCCCTAAAATGATTGTGGACCAAGGTCTAAAAGACAAGTTCTTCAGAATCTACTTCCTTTAAGAAACTTTACTACAAAAAAGGAAAAGATAATTCTGTCTTATTTGTCTCTAGGTCCTTCATAATATAGGTAAAATTAGGGATTCAGAGTTCAGTTTTACACAATTCTATCAGTAATGACATCACATTTTTAACATGTGATTTAATTTAAAACTTATATAAAAGGAATGAAGGTAGATTGCTCCTGCGAGGCAGGGATTTTGAAACTCCTCACATACTTCGGGCGTGTTGTCAGGAGGGAACCAGTCCTTGGAAGAGGAAATCATACTTGCAAAAGTAGAGTCAGCGCAGGAGAGGAAGACCCTGGATGAGATGGATTGACTCTGTGGGCAGTGGGGGCAGGTGTGTCAGAGACAGTGAGGTTGGCTCAGGATAGGGTGAGGTTCAGAGCCATTGTTCATAGGGTTGCTATGAGTTGTCAACTCAACATCACCTAACAACATAAAAAATTATAAACTGAAACATTAATGTAAATATATGCAATGTTACTCTCAATCATTATTTAGTACTTAATTGCAGTTAGTTTCACACAAATAAGTGTGCCTTATCTTTAGACTTCATTTGTTTGATGATTCTTAGTAGACCTGGAAGGGCCAGTGGCTAGACAACACTGGACTTCTTCGTTTTCTTGTCTTCTTTTTGGTGTGCCATCAAGTTAGAACCAACTGACTCTCCAGTGGGTTTTCAGAGGCAGTTAATTACCTAGAAGGTGATTGTCTAGCCTTCTGTAGAGCTGCTGGTAGATTCAAACTGCAGGCCTTTAGAGTTGCAATGCAGCTTCTTAACCCTAGGCCATCAGAGCTCCCTACTGAACTGTTAAGGCAGTTCAAACCAGAGCTCCCTACTGAACTGTTAAGGCAGTTCAACCCAGCTGCATATTCCACAGGAGAAAGATGTGGTAATCTGTTTCTGTAAAGAATTACAGACTTTGAAACTCTAGGGCCAGGGAGGGATCATCTCTGCCTTGGAGGGTAACTGAGTCAGATGCAAGTCAATGGTAATGAGGTTAGAAGCATTTTCTTATCCTTGTCCTCAGATTCTAGAACAGTGTGTATCTATGTGTGTAGGTATTTGGTTTGATGTCACAGAGCATTTCTAGGCAAAGGAGCAAAAATGAGCTATTCTAGGTTTCTAGGGCCATCAAAAAATGCAGTTTATGCTGAGGAAGAACTTTTCCTTGATGCTTCTATAAACAGCACAGTCTCTGCTGGGACCAGTGAAATCATTTCAAGTCTTTGCATGAATTTAGGATTTTTACTAAACTCAAAAGAGGAGACTCTCCATGGCTAGGAGACTCTACCCAAGACTATGGGATTGGAAAGTTGATAAACACTAAGAGTTGGGTACAAAAATCTGAATGTTTATAACCAGAATCTAGGGCGCTGATTCCATTCATGTTCTCCATAGGATTTTTCAATGACTGGTGTTTCTGATATAGAACACCATGCCTTTCTTCTGAGATGCCTTAGAGGGATTTGAACTGCCAACCTTTCCATTAACAGCCAAGCTTATTAACCATATACACATCTCACGGACACCTTGTAAATGTGAAGAAGACTTTGAAAGATCTTTAAAGGTTGTTGTGGTTGTTGTATTGTGCTGTGTAGTCAGAACCAAGTGAGCTCTGGTGGCCTAGTGCCAAGAAGCTACACTGCAAAGGCACACAGTTTGAAACCATCATAAGCTCTGCTGTAGAAAGATGCTCAATCTCCTCGCATGTCATTAACTGCCTCTGAAAACCCACTGGAGGGTCAGCGATGAGTCGGTTCCAACTCTGTGGTACACTATTACCACAACAACAGTCAGAACAGACTCATCGCTGACACTCCAGTGGGTTTTCAAAGGCTGTAAATCGCACAGAAGGAGCTTACCCATTGTTCTTCCTCAGAGTAGCTGTTAGGTTCAAACCTTTGGGTAGACTGACATCCTTGCCTCTCAATTTCTTCAAAGCTGAATTGTGTCTTTACTGGACAAAATCTGAGCATATTTTTTATTAACTCACTCTAAAATTTCCAATGCCACCAAACCAGAGTTCACTAAAAGGATTCGTTTGATGAGCTCTTCTCCTGATGATCCACTTCTAGAGGCTTCGCTGTAATTCTCAACAGAACCAGGCTTTCCCCACAGGGCTGCTGTCCCCGTTCACAGGAGGGCACAGAGGAGCTCGCTGTCAGCTACTCCAGAAGGGATCCAAATGTCTTCCCTATCGCTTTATTTTTGTATTGCACTGATTGTCATTACATGGGGGTTTTTCCTAGACAGTTGTTATGATGGAGATAACGTTGTGCCTTCATGTAGGTTAGTGAGAATCGAACTTTATTTCATTTACAACTCTCTATGTGCAATGATGATTCAGATGGCATCATGAGCATTCTCCAACATTGGAGTTTTAGAAACAAATAGTGTGCATTTTATCACATTCTGGGTTTCTATTTTTAAAAAGAATCCATTCATTTAAAATTCATCCTAAGAGCCTGTATAATAACCAGAGAATGAGGGTTTTTTTTTCAGTCCTACCTGAAAGTTGACACCTTAAAATCTGTAATTCAATTATTATAAAGAATAATCTTCTGGTATATGAAAATTGGTTAAATAAAATATAAAATGGGAATTTTATTTACCAATATAAT